CTCTCTCTCTCTCTCTCTCTCTCTCTCTCTCTCTCTCACACACACACACACACACACACACACACACACACACACACACACACACACACCACACAACCCACACACACACACGCACGCAACGTCCCAATCTGTGCTCTTCGATTGCAACATTGATCCCCCACCTGAACGCAATCACATTCATCCCAGAACACACACATAGGCGCAGAAAGGTTTCACAAGCAACCCGACACTAGGCTGACATCTGCCTGCACATCACGTCATAAGACAGAGCACTGCGAGGTCGATTGTTGCATACATGAAGACCAAGGAGGACATTACAAAGACTGAATAAGGACGGCGTCTCAGATATATCAGATCCATCAACCACATCAAGCATCGACGTCGATACCATAAAAGATTCAGGACTGCTACACTCACCATTGAACGCTAAGTTCGCGACCTGCTTTAGTTCCTCCGCACACTCCATATCAACAGGGCATGAGCCGTTCATTCCTCGCCGTGCTTTTCCTTCTCAACTGCCCACAAAAGAGAGAGAGAGAGAGACAGAGAGAGAGAGAAAGAGGATTGCTGTCGTAACACCAGAACACTGCTTCCCTTGTGTTACGGGACGACCTTGTTCACCGCCCTCTTCCCCCGATTCAAGGCCTTGACCAAAGGCAGGCAAAGAAAGCCTGCTGGCACGGGGACTACGGATGGAATAGAGGGAGCCCACGTCAGTGACGAGCGAAGAGCCGGTGAATGACTAATGTGCTGATGATGTCGCACACGGCCGCCCACCAGATTGGAGTGAACTGAGCGTGACGAAACTGAACTTATGCTCCCACCATCACTGGATGCTACCGTTGCTCAAAGCTCATGACCGGGGACCTCACTGCAGGATGACGTCTCTCAAAGCTCATCAGCTTTGAGCAGTTTGATTGCCACGATACGTGTGCGGCAACAACGGTGACCTGGCATGTGAACCCCGTGCGACAACAACGGCTCCCGATGCCGTGCTCGGAATGCCGCACACAGACCTAACAGATCTTCGTTGAAACCCCCTGGCATTCCGGTGAAGTAAAGCTATGGCAGAGGTGAACAGAGGATGTGCCTTTCAGGAACGAACCAATGACCACGTGCCTCGGCCTCGCCGCAAACCGAATCGCACACCCAAACCCCTCCGTGTGCCGCAAAACGTGTACGTTTCCACGTGACTACCTGGCCCCCTGTGGAGGAGACAGCTACTCGTCCATGACCATCTCATTGCCGACAATGCCGCGACAGGACAGCAGAGTCCGACGGCGGCATGGATGGATTGAGCCTTTGAATTGGAGCCGAACACCGTCTACAACTGCAAAGGCCCCACCTCAAACGATAACCCCAGCCTCGGTCTGCCAAACCACCAACACGTCAAGTCTATACGCGCGTGTTCGCCCCCTTTTTCCACTTGCCGCCTCCTGCTCTGCACGCCCGCGCTCTCGCGCCGCGCACTTCCCGTCCTCACCCTCCGCGTTCGCCACGACGCAAGGTGATACCGTTATTCCAAGGCACCCGCGAAGTTAGGTGCCAGCGGACCACTGGATAGAACTCGTCGGTAATTCCAGGCACGCGGTCCCCGAGTGGCACGCCGGTACTCGGCGTCGGCTGGACCCCACAGCCGTTCTTTGAGCTGAGCATGAGAGCCGCGTGGAAAGGCGCCAAGCGTACCGAGTGCCTACCTCAGACCTGAGTTCAAATCCGGGTGGAGTTCGGTGAATGATTTTTCTTTTCGCAGCCTTAGGGCCTCGTTTCACACCACTTGAGTTCAAGAGCCAAGCGAAAAGTCATCGTTCCACCCCCTCTAAGAGCGACCCGGGGTCTCGGCCCACATGCACCATGTTTCCAGCCCGTCAGGGTTGCGTTTTATGCCCCTGAGACATTTTTCGTCGTCGTTCGTTATACCGGTCGTTCATTCGGGCCCATTGGTCATTGAAAGGCTGGTAAAATGAAAGGCACGGGCATTTAGGAGGGGGCGGCAGTTCAAGCAAATGCAGGACCTGTCTCTTATACACATCTAGATGTGTATAAGACGGCGGGGGTGATTTGGAGGGGGTGGGGTTCGGGGATCCCCGGGCCGGGGGTCCGGGGGTCAAACCCCAACCCCGGCTCGGGCCCCGGGGATCCCCACGTGACAGCACGCAGAGCGAGCAGCTGATCCAGGGCTTCCTGGCTGCTCAGGGAAGTCTTCTGGAAGACTCTCAGCGGTAGTTCTGCTGAAGCAACATTGGAAATGGTTGTGACATTTGGGACATCAGCCATCCCTTGGGAGGTCTCTCCCTCTGTGACATAATGGGAGAGGGGGGAAAGAGGGCTCGCTGACATCCGATTGACCGAACTCGGTCATCAGTAGAACAGCAAAATGCTGCAAAATGTACCCTCGCCTGACAACGTAATTGGAAAGAAGGTGACAAAAGAAGAACTCCGAATCCAATTAATTGACAGTGGCCAAAAATACCCCAAGCTATGCCTACGAGAGAAGACCATATCCGCATGGAACGCAACCGAAGAGACGAAGAAAGAAAAAGGTTGGCACTTCCTAGAAATGATTCTTAGGGAAAAACGAAGGGAGGATTTTACGCACACGTTATCCCGAGCAAAGATGACTCACCATTTGGATACAAGCATTTGAAAGCAAACAATGTGAAGATGACCTCCACCGAAAATGACCCTCGGTCCACAAAGTCTCCATTGAACAGGTATGGATTCTCATCAGAGGGAAGACCATTCATTTCGAAGATGTTCAGGAGATCATAGTACTGCCACAGAGTCGCATGTGTAGCACAAAAAAAGGACCACAGGAACGCATCAGCCAATCAGAAATGACAACACCATGGACAACACCATGGATTCTCATCAGAGGAAAAGACGGCATAGCCAAAAGAACTGGTTGTACCTACAAGCACAGGGGAGAAGCAGCACGCTCCCACAATTGGCGAGCTGTTTTGGCTCCTCCCTCTGCTGTTATGTTTGTGCTTAGCACCCCCTGAAGGAAAAAGATATCCATTGACTTCTCACCCCCTCTTCTGCCCACACCTTCACCTCATACATCCAAAGACTCCCAAACCAACCACTGGCTGAAAGAACAAAACAGAGACAGTTACACATATTTTAAACTGTCATCTTCGTATAAGATGCGTGGATACATTGTTTACGACTTCGCCTTTATTATCAATCAGCAAATGCACTAAGCAGCAGCAAATAGGGTCTAACAAACAGTCATGCTGGGTATCGCCATCTTCGTATGAGATGTGTGCATAAATTGTTTAGGACTTCGCCTTCATTATCAATCAGCTTGTGCACCAAGCAGCAGTAAATAGGTGCTAACGAACAGCCATGCTGGTATTGCCAGCAATAGCCCTGAATGATGGTTCTTCGCACGAGGCGGGGTTTTCTCAGCAAGACGGAGAGAAAGTGGCACACCCGCAATCTCCCACAGGGGGAGTGGCCTTTCTTTCCAAACAGCAGCAGGCATTCCACCATCCCCAAAGGGAATCAGCATACCACAATCAAACCGTTTGCCCACAGTCCCCACAAACAGCGTAATGCTCTGCTAGTGACAAACTCCAGAATTGAAAATGTACCTGTCCATGGATATCCCCACAAACTGTAATGTGACTGCCTTCTGGGACAGTTATGTCAACGAGAGTTGGCGTTGCTTTCGAGATCTCATTCACCCGAAGAAGAATTTGATAAGCATATCTGCAAGCAATTCAATTCACATGTGTAAACACATCTTTACCCATCCATTCCGCACCCACTCAGAGTTGCAGATCAAAAACCACCAGTGGGTCCAAACCCCACCTCCAAAACATATTCACAGTTTATGAAGAAGAAGTGAAACCCACAAGCAACATGGAGAAACAACACCAGTTATCACAGTCCGCCTCAACTGAGTTCCAAAACATCCTAGAAGTTTTGCCAAACACCCTCAAACCATTGGAAAGACTGGTGGTCAAATCCTGAGCCATGACATACAATTTTATTTGTGCTTGGTACCATCATACAGCAGTATGCTACAGACTCGTAGCTCTTGCCATTCATACGGGCAAGAACATGGGAGAGAAATGCTCACTACCCTCACCCCCACCCTTCCATCCCTCACTCTCCGCCCTTTCCCCTTCCTCTCTGTTTCTCCTCACATTGCCCCCTCCCCCCCCCCCCCCCCCCATCTCTCTCTCTCTCTCTCTCTCTCACACACACACACACACACGCACACACATATCCCTTGCACACAGGCCAGAATGCGGGCAATATGCCAGGCTAGCATCCCATGCCATATTCCACAGGGATAGTGAAGCCAGTGAGGAGGGCAAGGAGAAGGTACAGGACAAGGATGGTGGAATGGAAGCATGGAGGATGGTGCCAGTGGTCTAAGTCAAGGGCCGAAGCAAGGTGTGACACTAACAGACCTGCAGCAAAGGCAAATTCAGCAAAATTCGCAGCACTAGAAGGTATTTTTGCAGACAAACACAATTCTTCATACTGGCTGAAAGGTATTGGACCATTCTGTACAGTCCCCACAAAATAGAGGCATCGAAGCATCAAATCTCTCTTTTGTTTTCCTTCCCTTTTCCTCCTCAAACACGGCACCTTATAATTGTTTGTTCCCCTGCACACCCAATGTAACAAATATACGCCAGCCTGAACAATTGCAAAAGACATCAGGGCCTCCAAAGAGACAGACAGAGACAAAAGCAGAAATGAACTCTGAAACGACAGGCAGAGACCAATAGACATAAAGCAACCCTGTTCCCCCCCAAGAGCTGCAAGGAGCTTGATGAAAGTTCACCTCTTATGGAGAGACTTTTGTTTTCTGAACTCTTCCATCATCGTCTTTACAAACTCCAGAGTAACTTCCTCGCCTTCCAGCCTTGGTCCGGTATACGAGTCATCAACCTCTGCCACACCCGTTAATTCAATGAGCATCATTCCTCCGTTTCATTGATTCAGCGAGACAAAAACAAGCACAGAAATGAATGCTGTTCACGGGGTTGGGGGTCCACGGGCTGTCTCTTATACACATCTAGATGTGTATAAGAGACAGGTTCGACTCTCTCTCTCTCTCTCTCTCTCTCTCTCTCTCTCTCTCTCTCTCTCAAAGATTCAATTGACAGCTTATGTTTGTGTTCGACTCTCTCTCTCTCTCTCTCTCTCTCTCTCTCTCTCTCTCTCTCTGTGTGTGTGTGTGTGTTTGTGTGTATGTGTGTGTGTGTGTGTGTGTGCATGTGTGTGTGTGTGTCTGACTAAAGATTCAATTGTCAGCAGACTTCTGGCAAGGGTCTCATTCTCCATTGTTTAGGCTCTCGTTTAACTATGCCACATGGAGAAATTTAAGAGCGCATTGGTACCCCTGTACATATGCACCCTATGCACCCAAACACCGGCACAGTTAAGTCAATGACACCTGTACCTACGCAACAAGACACGGGCACAATGAAGTCAATGATCTGTACACAGATTTTACAATCCAGTCATAGACCTGAACACAGATTCGTGAAGGACAGAAACATAGCCTGTTTTATACACGTTCACACAACCAGATAAAACATAGCCTGTTTTACACACTTCGACACAACCAGATACCAGCACGATAAGTCAACGATCTGTACACAGATTTTGCAATTACGTCAACAACCAGTATGGCGCACACAGATTTGTGATCGACAGAATCATAGCCTGTTTCATACAGTTTTGAGCGACAAAACTATTTCATTCAAAGTGCACCTTGACAACTGTGCACGTATGTGTGCGTCCCACAGTTTGATTTCGTCCCGCCGTTTGTGTGCGTCCCACAGTTGGGCATCCCATCACATACAGAAACTTGATTTCCAAACCTGCACAGGCTGTTTACGCACTTTTCTGAAGTGTTTTACCTTCAACCCTTTTACCTTGGAAATTGACTGTACTCAGTACTGCTCAGTTTTCTCACCTTCGTCTGGCGGCTCTGTAAATCGGTCAATGTTCCTGATGTCCTGCAGTGTCACTCCATCCTGGCTGAAGAGTCCTCCATGAACAACGATCACCTTTCCGTTCAGCACATTTGCCAAAGGCAACGCACAGAACACCTCCTGGAAAAGATCTGACATCGTCGCATCAAATGTACTAATTGTTAAGGACAACTACAGCGCACGCATGCTTATAAAAGGATGGAGAAAGATTGCATCCAAACAAAAGGGACGGCACAAAGGCAGCGATATCGAACCTGAGAAGGTGACAAACATGTGCAGCACAACACGTTGCTCAATTTGAGCATTAGCAGATTGCACTGCAGATATTACTATTCCGATTCTGCTCAGAGATTCTCCACATCACGTCATGCTCGAGAAAAGTGAAACTGTACAACGGCTCCAGCTATCCTGAGGGAAACTTTGGAAGGAACCAGCTACTTGACGGTTCGATCAGTCTTTCGCCAATATACGAAAGCTCGACGAACGATTTGCATGTTCAAGAAAATCAAATGCCGCATGCAGAACCATTCTTGAAGATTCTGAGGCCGAGAGCCCCACACACAGGCCTGGCATTGTGGGGATAGCTTCGTCATCTGCATTCAAAAACCCTGGGAAGGTCGCAGGTTCAAATCATACTTGCAACCGCACGAGCCGCACAGCTGTACGGTGCGGTGTGCGGCACGATGTGCGGAACCTGCCCGTGCACCGCACCAGAAATAATCTGTTTTTTTTTTGTGTGTGTGTGTTTTCGTAGATACAGAGGAGTGTACTGCCTCAGGAACAGATCCTGTCCAAGTACAGTCGTACAAATCTTTCTTTTTGTCTCGTTGGGCATCATAACTAGCCTCAAATAGGTCTTTGGAGCATCAGTCTTGAGTCTTGACTGTTAAGTTTTTATGATCCTGGCCAATTTCGAAGTACACATTCATGAGAAAGCACAACGCCGTCCAATCGCAAAAAGAAGTGAATGAACTTGAGGGAAAGAAGAAGAAGAAGTACACCAACAAGACCAATGATAATTCTTTTCTGCTCGCCAAGCACTCTCCTCCTTTTCTCCTCCCCTCTTATTCAAACAATAAATAACAATAATAATGTTGAATGGCTGAACCAGAATCAATGTCCGAGTCCCACTTCCACTGCAGGTACAACATGAGGTCCACCATTGCCATGGCCACCCTTCTCCTTCCTCTTCCTGAAGGCCGAGACTATGGCAGACTCCTAGGGCCTTGCCCTGATGTGCAAAACACAACTCAAACCAGCTCCGGCTGCTCTAGCTCAGGCCGCCATGCCTGACTCTGCCTTGAAGCTTCTTGGTGTAGCTCTACCCTAACTGGGGCCTTCCAGATGCAGCGCCCACCAATGATGAATATGGCATCCACCATAGCCAGTAAGTACCTCTGGCTCTCCCCCTTCCTAGTCCTCATCTTCCTCCTCCAGGCCGTGCTCCTCCACCATAGCCAAGGTGGAGAGCTGGGCGCTCCTTCCTCCCCAGCAGCGCTGCTCCAGCCAGCCCTCCAAGCAGTGTGTCGCCAAACTTGCACACCATAGAATGAGGAGCTCTTTGCTCCTCCAGGACATATAGCGGCCTGCCTCTTGGGCGGTGACTTCCAGGCCGCGCTGTCTCCAAGCAACCGGTACCTCCTCCCTTTGGCAGGGAAACATAATTGCAGACCCTGATATTGCCCGCACAGGCCCTCGCCTCAGACTACTTGGACTGGTACCCGCCTATACCTAACCTACAACTACTGGGCCTCTAAAAATGCCAACTTTGTCTTCTTCTGCTCGGCATCGAGTACCCGACACATCTACCTCTACTTGGTGTGGTACCGGCCAAGCTGCTACTTTGAGTGTTTTTCCACTGCTGTAAGTGTTGCACGCCTCTTTCCCCGCCACTTGAGTGTTTTCCCCACTGCAACCCTCGATGTCACGGCCACAGGTCAGTACCGGCCCTTCAGGCCCCTCCCGCACGGACGAGTACCCTTGCAGGTCACACACACACTCAAACCGACAAGCACTCAGACAGGCATGCAGACCAGTAAGCACGCACACACACAGACTGGGAAAACTCAGAGACAAGCGGGAAAATCAGCAAGGCATACATTCCATTGGCAAAACTCAGAAATCGGCTAGGTCCTTACAAAGTGGTGAAATTGCTCCTCCAACTTTTTTTTTTTTTTTTTTTTTTTACACGAAACAAACCATCAGCGATTCCTCAGCAAAGCAATCACTGGAGACATGTTTTTCATCCAACAACAAATTTTCGAGGGCGGCGCAGGTGGACACTGATCCAGGCCTGCCACCCCTTTTTTTCCTGGGCGGCTATTTGCCCAGTGCGCCGCACATGCCATGCGCCACACCAGAACCATGCGGCTTGTGCGCACACGGGGGCATGTATGGTTCATATCCTGTTGGAAACTACTACCAACCCCAGTTCCGTATTCAATGAATGTGAGCAGGAAGACTAGTGCTGATGTACGGCTGTCGTTGATGATGACACGGTTGGGGAAGGGGGGTGGGGGGGGAGAAGAGAGAGGCAGGGGGGATTGCCCTGGAAGGGAGTGAACATTACCCATTGTCGTTCATCCTGAACACATCCCCTCCAGGATCGTCCCTCTCGAGCCTACCGCACTACAAAGTAGGGTCTTTTAGAAGCAGGATGTGTCAAAATTCAGAGATGGAACGGAAGTTGATCCACCCAGACGAATGAAAAATGCAAAACATGAGAGAGAGAGAGAGAGAGAGAGAGAGGGAAGAAAAGAAGATAAAAAAAGAAAAAGAAAAAGAAAAAAAAGTTTAAAAAACTCAGAAGAGGGGTAAGCATAGGGTCCGCAGAAAGTGCACAACATAAAATGGAATTAGAGGCATTCGTCCATCCCAACCAGTGGAAGGTAGGCAGCAAGCATAGGGTCCACAGAAAAATGTGACAGCAGATATTCGGCTTGTCAAAAGGATATTTCGCTTTCACTTCTCCGTCAAAACCGTAGATTTTATTCATGCCCTTGGTTTCGTGATTTCCACGACTAAGGTACATTCCTGCACAGAGCACATAAAGCCCACAGTAATGAGACTACAGGATATCAAACTGGAACAGCAGGAACAAATTTTAACATTTCGATCACCCGTCTTTCAAGGTATCCGCCGCAGTTGTTATGACAGCGAGAAGATTAACACTACCACTGCACAGCCAGGATGAATGCACAAATCGAGAAACGGTCCAAAAGAAGCAGGAAATTTCATTTCGCAGTCCTTTTCAGGCACATATGAGGAACGAGGACAGGCCCTGTACACAACAACAGGGCTTTTGTGCACAAAGCTGCATCTTGTGCACATCAAGGAGAAAATGCAGACAACAACACAACTTAAACAGCCCATGCAGATTCTAGAATGACAGGACGTACAAAAAAAAAAAAAAAGAAAGCCCATCCAAATATTATCTGCACAGACTTGTTTTCTTCTTCTTCTTTTTTTTTTAAATTAAAACAGGTCCTTACGCACCTGGCTCCTTTTCCATTTTGGGAAGGCACAGACCTGCTTCCTATATTGTCATGCTTACAAAGAAGATAGAATTTGTTAATTTCTTGTTCATAAAGCTCTATGTATCGTCAAACAGAGCTGCCCGGTAGGAGGGAGAGAAGAGGACAAGAAACGAGGGGGGGCTGTGACAAACTGTTTCGTCGGATATATATTGACACACTTGTACATCAAATCAGAGAAGAAAAGTATAGCTGACAGTCAATCCACTATGGAATGGTCTAATCAAAGTGCTAATCAGGAAAGTTGAGCTGGCAGTCTATCCTCCAAGAAAAGGCAGGGTGACAAAAGGAAGCATGAATGTGTAAAGACTGTACTTCTATGACTTCCCGGGAGAAAATGAACCAGACTGATAGTTCTTAAAATGGGAACGGATCCAGGACCATAACGACATATTTCCGGGGAAAAAAGGAGCTGACGAGAACGCAGGAGGAGAAAGGAAGACAGGTCGACGCACACTGAAACCACTATTTTTCCCTTCCCCCGTTGTTCTCCTCTCTTCGACTTTTCGTAAGTTAATCTTTTTCTCAAGGTTCTTTCCTTTTTACTGCGCCAGATTTTTCCTTCTAACTGCCGCCTCCCCGGTGCAAGGTTCACCACTTTTGTGTGGTTGAGCGTCAAGTGCCCACTGCAAATCTGCCATAACGTTGCATCTGCACACAGAGTAAGGAAAGGCAGAGAACAGAGAAGTGAGGAGTGATAACAGAGGAGTGTGGAATATAGATATGACAGAGTACGGAGAGAGAACCAAGGAGTAAATCTTTTCTTTGGCAACAAAGGGTACCGGCACGGTAGCAATGAGATGGTCGAGGACATGTGGCATTTCAACCACAGTATCTGTCCTTTTGTAGCAGAGACCTGCTCAAACACAAACTCTACAAGCCACAACAGAATGAATAGATGGAAATCTTTGCATTCCCTGAATGTGGCCACATATCAGGATAAGGTACAGTGACACCCATCGGCATGGATATCTGCGGGCTTGTCCCTTCCAGGAACAAGACGGATAGCGCCAGTCAAAGAACAGCATAGGAGAGTAGCAGAGAAGGGGTTGTTGAGCCCCGGCCCTGGGGCCCCGGTGGGGGTCCGGGGGTCCTGGGGTGGACACCTCGAACCCCGGCTCCGGAGGCCCGAAAAACCAAAATCCAAAAGGACTAAAATAAAATACTGGGGGGTGCGCAGTGAGAGCCTGCCCCTCCTGGCCAAAAATCAAAAACATGATTTTTACCCCTCCTCGGACCCCCACCCCAGGGCCACACCCACCGCTGGTGCGGAGGCGGGGATGGCTGGGGGCGGGGATGCAGGGATGCGGGGGTGTTCAAGGGTGGCGGGGTTGAGGGCGGGGGCACTGGGGTGCAGGGGTGGCACGGGCGGCA